AAACGTTTCCGCCCCTAGCAGTCGGCGTGGGAAGGATAAAAGAAGGGGGGTGAGAAGCAGAATAGAATTTGTACAAACGCGTAGCGGTTGGTATGCATTTGATGCCACGCCTCTTGTCTGTCTGCATCGAGAAGCACTTTAACGATTTTAAACTTTTTTAGTTTTTATTTAGCACAAGAATTCGTTTGTGGCATGTAGCGTGGCAACGAAAGCGTCTAATCAGCAACAATACAGCGAGCGAGCTAGCGATTTATACGGGCATTTTACACTATGCAATGCATTTCGCGCAATAAACATGCATACCATACATACATATACATACATGTATTGTGAGTATAAACTCAAGTATACAAATGTTTTTACATCGTCTGTCAGTGGTTAGTAATCAAAGTGCTGCGAAACTATTTTAGGAAGAAATTTATTGGTGTACTGGCTCTTGGTCAAGACATTACGTAGAGTATACCATATATAAATTAAAAACTACTTAAAAGTGTTTAAAACCTTTCAAATGAATCCCAAAAAAAAAGAATACCATTCACAGGTATATTTCTTATAGAAAATATGCGTACAACTAAATCGAAAAACGTAACGGGTTTATATTCAACGGAAAAGCTTTTTTGTAGTTCCTTCCAGGTTGCAAATAATACATTAAAAAAATGATTGAATTAACCTTGGAAAATAATTTTTTTTTTATATTTTGTAATCCCTAATAAGGGATTGAAAAAAATAATCGCGCATACCGGATTAAAAGCAAAGGTTTCATCCCAAAAACCGGATTAAAACTATATTTTAAATTTTGAAATAGAAAATAAAATTTTTTTGCTCAAGCATATAATTAAGATTCAAAACAAAAGAAGTTGTTTTAGAATTAATATTTTTTCGCGTTCATTCAAAACAAAAAATAATATTTCCAAGTTTAAATCCCAAACATTTTGGATTAAAAAATTTAAATCTATGATAGCCGCAATTTTCGACCACTTTTCACAGCAATTGCGCGCTGAATATTCTCTTTCGTCAATCGTCTCGGTCTTATCTGCGTAGCCAAACGACTTCACATAACCCCACAAAAAATATTCCAGCGGTGCTAAAACGCACGATCTTGGAGGCAGCGCCATAGACCCACAACTCGAGATAATGCGCTCACCAAAAGTTTTCTTCAATAAATTGATTCTTTGGTTGGTTGTATGGCTAGTAGCGCCGTCTTCTTGGGTCCAAAGGTCGTCCACATAAACATCCTCCAATTCAGGCACGGAAAAGTCATGGCTCTATTGTGTTCCCCATTAACTGAAACATAATGGCCGTCTTCTTTTTTGAAGAAATATGAATCAATGATTCCCTCTGCCCAAAGAGCACACCGAACAGTAACTTTTTAACTATCATCATAACACTAAATCTGACCATTATGTTTATTAATGTATCCATTCAACCAAGAGTATGCTTTATCGCTGAACAAAATTTTCTTGTGAAAATCTGTGATGTTCGTTCGGCTTTAATTCTTGCACATGTTGGATTTTGTAAGCCTGCAAACTAAGATCCTTCCGCAAAATCTACCATAAAGTGGATAAGCACAGCTGCAATCGTTGCGCGCGATGGCGGATGAACTTATTCGGATCTTCTTTGATACTCTGCTTCACAGCAGCAATAGCGTCTTCAGTGCGCATTGTATAGCGTCTCTGAGGATGCGCATTATCCACTAGAGTAAACGTGGTGCGAAACCGATCCACAGTTGCTCTTTTGTCGACCGAACAGGGCTTTTATGTCGACCGAATATTGGACGCAACTGGCGATGCGTCGCCGAACCGAACAATTATGTTGGTAATAAATTTGCACGATTTTCAAACGTTGTTCCGGCATAAGTCTGTTCAATATAAAATGGCAAGCTGAGAGTTAAATTAAGTAACAGCTGTCAAAAAGACCAGCTCCGAAAAAAGTATTGCTTCATTGAAAACCACCTGTCTAAGAAAACACCCGTTATAAATAGCATCCAAGTCGCATTAAGGTTACTTAAAAGGAAAAAAGATCTTTTATGAAATTCTCTATCTTGATTTTGATAGGTCAGTTTGTATGGCAGCTATACGCTATAGAGGACCGATCTGAACAATATGTTCGGAGATTGTAGCGTTGTCAATAATCTCTGCCAAATTGCGTGACAACTATATTCTAAATTAGTGCTGTTCCGATAACTAAGCAGCACTTTAGGGAGAAAAAGAAAATCGGAGAAAATTAGTTCACGTATATACAGGCAGACAAGCGGATAGACGGACTTGACTCAATCGGCTCAGCTCGTCACGCTGATAGTTTATGTACATACATACATATATACTTTATAAGCATACATCGTGGCAAACTAAGTAATATACCCTGTTCAGGTTATATATATTATACAATAAATGCCTGTTCTGTTTGGTGCCAAAGCCAAATTTCCTCAAAAATTACAAAATATGCGAAATTGTCAGAAAACCCAACAAAACATGAGGGATAAATTTTTTTGTTTAACACTTGTAATATAATTTTCACTACAATAACCAGCTATCGGCTTGGCACTGGTGGTAAAGAAGCATTTTTTTTTACAATTCTTGGAGACAATTGGTACATCACCATTTGGATTCCCATTCTTCCATCTCGTTTAAATGTCCATCGACCCATTCTGAACGTGGATATTTTAACCAAATATACCACATGTGACCACATAGGTAGCAATTCGCTTCATCTTATTTTCCTAAGTTTATCATTGATGTTTGGTAATATTTATTGGTTAAAGGCATGCAAGCTGGTGAGTTCAGCCGGAACGCTGTTTCTTGCCAAGAGCAGCACTTAAGAAGTGTAGTATAAAACAGACAGATTGTTGTAAAAAAACTCATTTAAAAGTATCAGCTAGGGAGATGTAAAGAAGTAAAAGCTATAATTGGTTTTCTATAATTAAACAGCACTTGATATACCTAAATAATCTTTCAAACATGTCCATCTATACATTTTCTCTTTTCATATCCGAATAATGACAATAAGCTTTGGAGAATTCGAAAGTAAGTTGGTTTGGAAGGAAGGTAAGTTTATTCTCTATACATATATGCATGAGCGAAGAGTAAATATAAAAGGAGAGTAAAAATTTTAAGTATAAAGGAGCTAAAGTTTGGGGACAATGAAGAAATACAACTTGCAAACTATAATAAGCGCTGCAAAAAAGCTTCTTTACACCAATCGAAAAGCATCGATTCATTATTTCATATAAGCTCTGCCCTGTTCTTGAGATTTCATTGCAAGCTTTAAATCATGATATCCGAAACATGTCGTGGAGTCTCTTCTGTAGACGAGTTGTTAAGGAAAAAAGGCATACGTATGGTTTTAAATAATGTGGAATTCTACGAAAATTCTAGCAGCTACCCATTTCGAGCTAGCACATAAATGATCTGGTGAGATATGTTTGTGTTGTGGACATCGTCTTAAGAGATTTTAAGAGCTCGCTATCACGCTAGATCTGTTTATTTCCGCTGCATTTGGCTAATAAGTACCAAAGTACCAAAATAGGTAAAGAAGTCTTCATCACTAAACTCAGACGAAAATATTACTACAAACAAAAATCATAGACATAGGGAAAGTATTTGTCAAAATAGTTGAAATATTCCTACACAAAGTTAGCAAAAACTGACTTTGATGCTTCAACATCATCTACTACTACTAAATATGTATATTGTTTGAACTTAAAAAAAAATTTCGCCGTAATGCAATGCCTTTATGAAGAAAAGATGGTCTCGTGAGACCGTACTTAAATGGGTTAAATCGCCCGATGATTATTTTTATTTTATTTTAATAAATGAATAAGCATTTTTTATTAAGGTAAATAGTTATGTTATATGGTGTTGAAGTCTTAAATTTTTTAATCAAATCAAATCTGACTCGGACGGGTTCATTCAAACTGCATGCGCAAACCGAATCAATAAGAATTTTCTTTCCTTGACTGGTACAACCTTGTTTTTTTTTATGTTAGTCACTTTATCACAAATACAAGTATTTGCGTGGCACAAAGAATTCATTAAGAATTGAGAAGTCATCGAAAACTTGCCTCATGATTTGAATGGTTTTCGACCGTTGAAAGAAATAAAGAATCAGTGCATGAAAAGCGTCGTAGCAGGGGATCTCAACATTTTTTACTTATCGAATCAACACATTTTGGTTAATGTTTTCGGTATGAAGCGTGTCAATGCTAGATTCGTGTAGAGGTTTCTAGAGATATGCTAGATTACGTAGCTGAGGACCCTACAATCTATCGAATGGCGCTCCAAAAATGAGCCGAAACCGAAAAAACCGGGAAAATTTTATTAAACGTTGGCTTAACAGCCTATTTTGCAGGCAATAATACACATTATTAATATATTATCATATATAATATTAAAATACGTCAAATTGTAAATTTTTCTTGTCAGTCCGTGTCAAATTTGATTAGATGGTATCTAAGTGAATCACTCGGAGCGAACAATTGAATAGCAATCCGGTAACGCAAAATAAATGTTCAACAAATAAACTGAAATGTAATAGTATCAACACCCACCACCAGTTAAAAACCAGGTTTACAGCGCTATGACGAAGTTAGACGAGGGAGTCAGATAAATAAAATTATAATCCAAAAATATTAAGAATAATATGTATATTTTGTTTAATATACCGTTCTATACATATATATATATGCCGTTACATATATATATTATATATATATTAATTTCTTATAAAAATCTTTTGATGACGTTAATCCATTTTTCATATTATCACGTTTTTTCCCCTGCACCTATAGAACGGTATATATAATATATATATATATATACAGAGCATGTACAGTAGCATAAAACAAATGTAAACACAAAAATTTGTGTTTAATAAGTCTTTTGTTGATTGTGATAAATATTTTGTATGATTACCGTTTAGCTCAATTATGAGTCTTGAAATTATAACGCAAAAATAGCTTTCAGAATTCCATGAAGCTTATCAGCAGTTCGTCTCCAGCGTGGCTCAACTGTGCATATAACTGTGTGAATGTATAGGCTTATGCTTGTATAAATATATCAAGAGTATTTTAGTTAGAATTTTAATTAATGATTGAAATAAATATTGTAACCGCAAAAACTGCAAATGAATCATATACATACATGTGGGTTTGGATTCAAAATCAGAATTTCTGAAACCACTTTCTTTACAAATCAGTTGCTTTGCAGCCTGCTATGGCTTTAGAACGATCAAGAAATAAACTGTAATAAATTTCTCTAATTATAAATTATAAACTACAGTAAAAAAAAAAACCAAGAGGGGCATATAATACAACAGCGCAATGTCAAGCCATAGGCGCTACGGTCAATTTTTGTTAGTAATACTTGTGTTAGGCGCGGTTGCGGCGGAGAATGCCACTGAAGTGGATAAAAAGAATCCGTGTAAAAACAAAGATACCTGTCAGGAGTGCATACAAACGGCCAAATGTATCTGGTGTAAGGTGCCGAACTTTGCGGAGGATCGATGCTTTCAAAGCGATTCGAATACAACTTGTACATTGACTGAGCATCCAGTCACGAATATTACCAAAGTAATCAAGCGACCTCTAACGAGTGGCGGTAAGAGAAGAAAATTGCTTGAAGATCGTGAAATTATACAGCTGACGCCACAGTACGTCAAACTGGAATTAAGACCCAGTAAGTCTAGATTTTTTTTTATTAAATGAAGTGAGAGTGAAAATTAAAAATATACATCTATTTTATATAGAAATAGATTAGAGGAATATTTTTGTTATATGCTTGGCGCTAATTCCAAGAAAGATAGTCGAAATTCATGTGTTATTAATAATAATTTATCTAAACAATGATTACCGTTAGCGATTACTTTAAAATTAGTGTCGTTAAAAACTCCTATGCAGCAGAGTTCAAAAAAGTGAGCCAGATTCATTTTCAACTACCAGCAGCTGATATCGACTTGAATACATCAGTGCGGATGGTTCTCCATCCATCCTAACGATAGGTCCTAAGCCCGCATAGACACGCTTATTTTTAATATACTAAACTAACTATGGTATGTTCACATCGTTATAAAGTTAGTACCAGATATCTGCAAACAGAGAATCAAAGTAAGACATCACCAACCGTAAAAAAATTACTAATTAAGCTTTCGGCGCCCTCCATGCGGTCTGGAGCTCGTCCATCATTTTTTTTGTGGCAATTTTCAATATTATTATTCAACACAGTTGCCATCGAAGGCATTGTACTATTTATAGCAATCTTCTAACATTACTGAATCTTCTTATACTGCTCAGAATCATATACTCCTTGCTGGTTTTTATGAATTTTTAGAATATTCACGATATGTTTAACACGTTGCTTTAATAACTTTAAAATCTTTGCTTTGAAAATTGCCATCACTCACTCTTTTGCCTCATATACAGCATATACACAAAGAATATAAATTTAATTCGTTATCTCCATAGTTCGAAGAAACATATTTTGAGCAAAGAATCTCAAATTCGGTTCGGTTTTTATCATTTAGTTCGATGATGTAATAAGCGTAAGCCAGAACTTGTTTGCTTAAGGTATATGAAAAGTGTTTAATAATTTGTTCACAGTTCCCCGTTCGTCAGCAAGTATACTTGGTTATTAGATAGATCAGAAAGTAAAAGCCAACCGTCAGGGTTGTTTCAGTTATTTCAAAAACTTTATCAGCTCGTTACTGCCGTATTTGGTTACTTCCGCGGATAATCCATTAATACCGCAGTTTTGTCGAGTTTTTTCTAGATCAGTTAATGTAGCATAATCCTCAGTTTTTGATGTGGTATTTGGCATCATTGATTTCTAAGTATATAGGCTGTCTCTATTGATCAGATTGAAGAAATCAATAGCGAAAGTAAGTTTCCACAGAACCTTTTTCATCCTTAATGCAATTAGTATAAGTCGCACAATCCTTGGTGAATATAAAAATCATATCGTAGAATTTGAGAATATTCTTCATGTCATCCATCATCTCAAGCTCTTCTCCTCATTTTTCATCCCGATTTCTGCTCATTCTGAATCTTTATTTCCTGCTGTAAAGCTGCTTTTTACAATATTCCTTCATTATATCGCCATAAAACATTTCTGAAACAGTTTTCAGAGTTTTTGTGTTCCGTACCAGTTACGTACACCTGATTATTGTAGGAACGACGGTAGTCCTCATTATACTAAGCTCGCTAAAATGCAGCCCTCATTCGTGCTTCGATTTAATACTTCAAATCGTAACATAAACCTTTTATATATCAAGAAGCGTAGTCTTTAATGGTTGGTGCTGTTTTGGAAAAGAACATCGGCAGGAAACTTCCTCTACTTGCAAACGTTATTGCAACGACTTTTTTATGTTCGTGTGAAGTTTGAGATTCATAAGTCAATTCGTGGGTGTTTGGCAGTTTCTTTAGGACGGAAAGGATTGGCTGACGATTTTTATCATAAAACCAAATTAACTACGAGCTTGCTTGAAATTTTGTGTTTCCAATGAATTCACGACTAGAGAATTGTTGAAAATGTCGCAAAAGTATTTTAACAAGTCTACCTTATCACAAGATAAGTGTTTATTACAAAATAAGTAAATGCCTCATGTGAGTCGTCTATTCACCTCTGTTAATGACGATATCATCGAAGAAGTTAAAGAAACAGTGCGTACGTACAACCGTATTAGCAGAGACGGTTACGAGACGTGGGTTTATAAGTATGTTATCGAAACTATCCAACAATCTAGTGAAAAAAACCAAAATTCGCTGAAGTCAGTGAAGGCCAACCCAGCCGATGAAAATTGGATTAATAATTGGCGTATTTTGAAAGCGATAATAAAGATTTGTATAAAATTACATGAACATTTTTGTTTTGGTCACTACGGTTCAAATTTGGTCAAATGGTAAAGAATGAAAAGTGTATACGAGAATTTCGACCAAATTCTAAAGCTTATATATTTTTTCGTTACACAATATGATTTTAAAATAAATACAATATTTATCAGATAAAGGAATATCGTTTATGTACAATACATACACATATATACGTAATATATTCTCAATAATTGACATGTTTTTCAGATGATGTGGAAATAATAAAAATGAAATATGCGCGCGCACTCGATTATCCTGTCGATCTGTACTATCTTATGGACTTGTCCGAATCAATGAAAGATGATAGAGATACTCTATCCGCATTGGGTGATACTCTAGCAGAGACTATGCGAAATTTAACCAGCGATTTTCGCTTGGGCTTTGGTTCGTTTACCGACAAAGTTATAATGCCTTTTACCGACAATATTAGTAATCAGTGAGTACGCATAACATTTCAAGTGAATCAGTAATTAATGTAATTAATTATATAGGAATTCGTATTTATCTACTAACCGAAAAAAAAGCATGTGCCAAAATAACGACTGTCTCAGTTATCGAAATATTATGCCACTGAGCACGGACACCTTTCAATTTTCAGTGAGTGCTGTGGTTGGAAAAAAAACTGTACATTATGAATTAATTTGAATTTAAAATTTTCTATATCTTAGTCTAAAGTGAAAAACTCAAAAATTACTGGTAACTATGATTCGCCCGAAGGTGGCCTAGAAGCCATGATGCAGGCGATCGTGTGTCGCAAGGAGATCGGTTGGCGTGAAAAAGCGAGACGTCTATTAGTTTTCTCAACTGATGCAAATTTTCACACAGCGGGCGATGGTAAGGTGAGTACTAAGTAGTGATTATGCCAGTTGTCTTACATAATACAGATATCAATGCTTTAATTTGCTTATATTCTTTTTCAGCTTGCCGGTTTGATTCAACCCAATGATGGAAAATGTCACTTGGACAAAGAAGGCAACTATACGCATGCGGAACAATTAGATTATCCAAGTATTGGACAAGTAATACATACCGTCAAAGAGAATTCGATTAATGTCATATTTGCTGTCACGGATAAAGTACTAAACACATATAAAAATCTTTCGGAACATATTGAGGGTTCTTCATATGCAAACTTGGCGGGAAAATCTTCGAATGTGGTAAAACTTATAGGCGAACAATATCAGGTGAGCTAAATGAATTGTAGGGATGAAAATTTTGACTGAAATGATCAGAAAGTGCGACGTGAATATTGATCGGACATTAACATTATTCTGAAGATATTTCCAACCAGATTTGGTTAGTGTTAACTTTGAAATTGGTTTTATATTTACTATGAATCACGATTATTATCAAAAAGTGTATAAAGTGTTTCATTTGTTAGTTTTAATGTTCTTTTTCTAAGCAAATCTCATCCTCCATCGAAATGCGTGACAATGCCACCGGAGATGTGAAGATCACTTATTATTCCGCTTGTCGCAGTGGTGGCCCCAAAGTACCTACTTCAAAATGTGATGGCTTACACGTCGGCGATGCAGTGGAATTTAAAATATTTATCCGTTTGACTTCCTGTCCAAAAAACCCACGCGATTGGCGGCAAATTATACAAATCTATCCGGTCGGTATAAATGAGAGTTTGATCATTGATCTGAAAATGCTTTGCGGTTGCGAGTGTGATGCCGAAGTGATAACCAAAAGCCAATATTGCTCCTCACAAGGCAGTCTGGTATGTGGAGTTTGTCAGTGCGAAGATAAATTTGTGGGTGCTCAGTGCCAGTGTTCGAATACCGATATGCAAGAGAGTAATGACAGCAGTCACAACTGTCATGACAACACAACAATGATCGATTGTAGCGGACGTGGTATGTGCTCGTGTGGTCAATGCCAATGTGACAAGCGTAGCAATGAAGAAGAGGTCATATCCGGTAAATACTGTCAGTGTGACAATTTCTCCTGTGAGCGGCATGAACAGCGACTTTGCTCTGGTCCCGGCCATGGAAAATGCGAATGCGGGCAATGTGTTTGTAATGAAGGCTGGCAAGGCAAAGCCTGCGAATGTGAGGTATCAACTGATAAGTGTCGGAAAAAGGGCGATGATAAACTATGCTCCGGTAAAGGGAAATGCGAATGTGGCGCTTGCAAGTAAGCGTAATTATAATTTAGTTGTAGAGCTATCACTATTTGTATTTACAATATTTGTAGATGTCAAACTACTGCACAAGGACGCTACTCGGGTCAATACTGTGAGACATGTCCGACATGCTCAAGCCTCTGTTCGAAGTTGAAAGATTGCGTACAATGTCAAATGTATAAGATGGGTAAATTCAAAGAAGCTAATGTTTGTGCTGCCAACTGTACGAAAGTGAAAACGACTCCAGTGGATAAAGTTTTGGAGAAATCCGAATTAGTTCTTGGTGAAAAGAATTGTGAAATTTATGATGATGATAATTGTAAATTTGCATTTACGTTCAAAGAAAATAACGGTATTTACGAAGTACAAGCACAAAAGGAACGCGAATGTAGGGCAAAGGTTGCCATGTTTAAGATTTTAATCAGTGTGGCAGGTTCTATTTTGTTCATTGGCTTAGCCACGCTGCTTTTATGGAAACTTATTACGACCATACAGGATAATCGTGAATTTCAACGATTTGAGAAGGAACAAATGCGGGCGCAATGGAATTCGGTAAGATGTAATAGAGAAAAGTCTTGTGATTTTTTACCTTGAGAAAGATATTGACGGTTATATTGATTGATATCAGTCAAGGCTGCTATTGATATTGATATTAGTATTAATTTTGATATTGAAATTGATTTTGATATTGATATTGACATTAGTATTGATATTGATATTGAAATTGATTTTGATATTGATATTGAAAAAACTGTTATTTGACTGACTCTATTAAACTTCTTTTTGTTAATATTCTTTTAATATAATTATTAAAATTATTGTAATTTATAATTTTAGGATGGTAACCCGCTGTACAAACAAGCGACGTCAACTTTTAAAAATCCGACATATTCAACATAGTGAATTAATTAAAAAATGTATAAATATGTTTGTATAGTTAAGTCATCCATTTCTATCATTAATAAATTTTTGATTATAAAAAAAAAAATGTCAACTCATATATGTTTTTCATATAGAAAATATTTATAAAAATAATTTAATTACCAAACACAAATAATTTAATTAAATATTTTTACAACTGTCAACGATTGTGTTTCACTCAACTGGTTCAATATAAACAGGCTGTCACCTGTTCGATTCAAATATAAAAGGGACAAAAATATTTCTGAACATTCAATTTCCGACAAACGAAATTGATTTTCCAGGTGTTGATACTGGTAATCAACGAACATTTATTGAATAATTGTGCAATGACCACAACTGGGCTGTTCTCATGCATATATGTCTGTATGTACGTATGTCTGCATTTATATACAGTCATGTGCAAAATATAAGCAAATGAATTCTTTATTGTTAACATTGCAAAAAAAAAAAACGGAATGTATATTGTTTAATGTATTAATTGGAAAAAGTTTCTTGTCTATAAGAGTTTTTCAAAATTTATAAAATATAAAATACCATTCCGGTTTATTTAACGGCATTGAAAAAAGTGACTGAATGCAATTTGAAATTTCACAGGCCTCAGCTCCTATTATCCTCGAAGTACCGATGAAAAACTTTAGAAAAGTATGCGGATGGATTAATTTCTGTTTTTGACTAATCTTCAAATTGTTTACTCGACAAAAGTATTCTTAAGTGGAAAATGGGATAGTTCAGTAATTTGACCAGATTTAACCTTTTCGCCACTGATCGTGTACAATACATTAAGTCTAATTCTTGTCGTGCAGGTTCCATTATACTTTGGAGTTCTTTGTAGTAAAAATTTTAAACAATATTTTGGAGACCAAAAAGCTCAGAGAAGAAATGCTTTGCCGTGTCAACACGATATTGACTACAAACACGATTTGGAAGTATGTGAAACAATCTTTCAACCACAAAAATGTTTATTGGAATTGTGTGGATTCTCCTTAATCAGACGTGAAAGACTTTTTTATGTGAGCAGTCATGTTAGCGCCTTAAAAAATGGCAACATTATATGCAAATCATATTATTTCCGAGCAAGTGAAGACTGTGGACCACCAAAAGGTGCTGAATGATTTTATACGACCTTGAAGTTTGGTTGAATGATAAATCTGATACTCTTTATGTTTGACATATTTCATATATATTATATAATATTATATCGAGACAGTCATACGAATAGACTGAACCGAATCTAAAACATGAAAAGGCAGAACAGTCATCCAATGTTCATCGAATATCATCGTAAAGAAAAATACCACCAACAGCGAGACTATTATATTTATATAACGTTGTTGAAAATTCTAAATATCCGGTAAAACGGGCTCCATTCAGAAAGAAGAATACATCATTTCAAATTGTTTTCGAATCCACTGTATTCACCGTAGTTAACCCCCACGATTTTTTTGTTCTGTTCTAAAACCTTAAGTTATTGTTCGCTAGAAAGAAATTTCGAGAGAATGAAGAAGTAATAGCCAAGATTAACATCTGCGTTAAGGAAAATGACAAATCTGTAACGAAAAGTTGGAAGATCATTATGACCAATGAATGGACAAGTCAATCTTTTTGGTTCTTACAATATTCAATTTTTTCGTTACATTGTTATACATTAAAAAATTATGAATTCAATACATTTGGATTTTGACAGATGTGAACAAAAACCAGCAGATTAATTTTCAGTTGCAGTTGTATTACACAATACTGTAAATATTCCTGTCCTATATTGAATGCGGACAACGAGAATGAGAAGGTAGATAGCCACTTCAAAAGTATGGTGTACAAATAGGCATGCTTACTAATAAAGTAATTTGTGCGCCCTAACCTGCTTACATGACAGTCAATAAAAAGACTTGCTTCACTATTTTGAATGTATGTGGAACTTTCAAACCTACTAAATTACCGCACATTTATTCTAGTCAATTATTTAATATCTCACCACAGGCCTTGTAGCAACTCCTCCCTTGCTTAGTTATTTATTCATACACTTTCACTTAAAATTCCAACGGAAGAGAGATAATTCCTGATATTTTGTTAACTGCTGTCATAAAATTTTCCCATCAATTTCAACTGATTGGCGTTTCTCCTTCCGCCATAATAAGCTATAATTACCTGGCGGCACGTAGTCACTGGTAGTGAGAGTTCGAAAGTGTTTTGCTTATTATCGGCCATCAGCTTCGCGTGAGTTTTGCGATTACGGTATGTAGGCGGGGTTTGTGGTCGAGCAGTACGTTTTTATTATTTATGCTAATTTCGATGTAGTGGTCATGTGGCTAGTCATCATCGCGTGACTTTAAATTACTTGTCACTACCATATTTTTATTTGAGTTGGATTCTTGGTGCTTACAAATGAACTATGAATCTCTCAAAATAATATACTTTTTTGATTATATAATGTTGATTTTGTTTAACTGTAAACAATATTTTCACATCGATCGAAGGATTAAGATTCTTAATGTGCTATTGGAAGGCTTCAACAATTCTCAAAGACAATCATTACAAAAATGTTGGGATCGATAAAGATAGAAAGTTGAATTATGTAAGTGATAAAAATTTTAAATTATTAAATTTTCTCAAAACTTGAATGAAAACAAAAAGAAAAGCGTTAACTTCAGTTGCACCGAAGCTGTAATACCCTTCCCTTATCCCAGATCGATATCTAAAAGAGTGAGAGACTAGATCGTGTACAAGAATATGGAGGCAGACGTACCGACAGATAGCCACACACGACTAAATCGCCACGTTTCCACGTTGTCGGGTCTACATAATCAACTCGACAGCTTTCTTCAGAAAGGCATAATATTTAGAACCTGATAATTACATAATTATAATTAACAGCGAAATTTTGGTTTGTGTTATATGGGGAACGTGTTGGAGATTCAAACAAAATCACTCCTCATTTCTTTGGTGTACATTTTTATATTGAAAAACAATTAAGTATAAGTAAACACTCAAACCCCTTATTATGGTGTCTGGGAATCTTAACAAGCTAACAAGTAATCTTCCATATATGACAAGTCTGTTCTGAGATCAAAATGGAGCTTTACGATCACTTGTGATCTTGTATTGAAGTTTGTTGTTCAATTTAAAGATTTGATTAAAGAAATACGTTTAAACGACGTGACAGTGAATTGTAACGAATGTCGTCGTGGATGACTTGTTGAACAACTCGTTCAAAAAATATCTCGAAATTCCTGCTGGTGAATTCGAAGTGTCTTCCTACATTTCCTCCTGCTTTGAACTTGAAAGTCAAATTCCATTGTGGGACGTTGCAAAATTTCACAACTTTGGACAAGGGTCAGAGGGTAAATTGTCTAATTTATGGACAAAACTGCTTTAACACTTTTTTGACAACAACAAAAGCAGTTTTAATTTATTTTTAACGCACAATAGCAAACTTCCTTAGCTTTGTCTAAAGTACAAATAAACAAACTAACAAATATGTTGAGTAAATAAACAAAGAGACAAATAGAGAGGAAGTAACTAATTAGCTGCAATAAATGCAAGAACAATTTGTGATGGGTTCATACGAGCCATTTACACATGTCCGTATACTTATATAAGAGTGAGTTTGTGTAGTCCTTGTTGGAAATTGCACTTACTTAAATAAACTAAATTCTTCGATTTTTTCTATACTCTTGCAACAGCTGATACATAGTATAATGTTCACCTAACAGTTGTTTGTACCACATAAATATAATCGAGTTAGATATAAAGTTATATGTGTATATATAAATAATCAGGATGACGAGACGAGTTGAAACCCGAGTGAGTGACTGTCTGTCCGTCCGTCCGTTTGTGCAGGTCATAACTTGACTAAAAAAAGATATAATAAAATTTGGAACACGTGCTCCTTGACAAACAAACAAAAGGACATGTTCATAAATGGGCGTAATAGGACCACTGCCACACCAATTCCAATAATAAACTAAAAATTAAAAAAAAAATTGGCGTGGAACCGCTTTCTAATTGGTTTAATATACCTACATATCTCCTAAACCAATCGAGCTAAAATAACCAAATTCGCGCGACAAATCAATAACCAAATGCTCCAGAGATATTAAAGTTTACACCCAGGATGATACTAGAGAGCTTTATAGGAGCCGGTTTCAAAATTCGACGATGAGCGTGGCACCTACTCGACCAAGTTCAACCAAATTCTGTGTATAACATAATCCTGACAATTTTATGTCACATTGTGAAAATGTGCGGAATCGGACTACAACCACGCCTACTTCCCATATAGCACAATTTGAAATTCCTTCTATTTCTTTCACTTCCCAGTACATAAATCAAGCACCAATGAATATATTCGGATAAAACTTTACACAAATAGTGCCTTTGAGGTATACTTGCGCGTTGGAAGATTATAAAATGTCCGGTACACCCGAACTTAGCCCTTCCTTACTTGTTCCTGTTTATTTTTTTTATTAAAAAAGAACCTTCTTAAAAACAGCCCAAAAATGTGGTTTTTTCTGACTTGCCAATGGAAATAACCCATTGAACCTTCGAAAGCCAGAAACGATTTCTAGTTGCTGTGAGGATGATGGAACATATATGTTTTTGTTTTAATTATTATAATAAAAAGTAAATAGGTGTGAGCTACTATATTCCTGCAAGGAATGTTTGGCTACGTATGTATGTATGAAATTTTTGACAGTGCAATATTCATATGTATAAAGTTGTCTGTCAGTTGAAACTTGTAGGCACATTTCCGCTTCCTGTAAAGCCACTTTGCATATGTTACTCTTCCTTTGCGCTCAAATGTAACATATGCAAGTCTAAAACCTATAATAAGTTTTATACATACATATGTACACAAAAGAGTTACGAATGACAGGAAAATAAAATTAGCATTAAGCGCATTTGCAAAACATAATCAACAAAAGTGTATAGATGGAATGGTTTAAGTATTATAGAGGGCATATCGCACACATTAAATATGAAAGCAGCACAACTAGGAATAACAGCAGCTACAAAAAACCGTTTTTGTCAAAAACTTGGTCATTATAAAGAACA